TGGTAGCGAGGCCTCGTCGAGCGGTATGGTAAGTGTGTTAACAACGTAAGCGGGGTGAACGCCCTCGATAGACCTAGACCCAAAAAGCGCTCGTTCCATGGGCAACTGCCACTGGCACTGGGTTAAGGCGAAGTCATGTGACGTGGTGCAGGCACATAAGTCGTGCACATCGCACGCACACTGGCGCAACGCCATTACTTTCACGCGTATGCGTTCGTTTCTGCTCGCATGGACGCGCACGCTGGGGTTCGTCGGCCTGACCATCTCGCGGAATGCCACGGAATTGTTTCGACACGTTCTTTTCTACGCAACATTCTACGACTCACCGTTACTAGGACGCTCGCTATTTATCATTTTCTTTTTTTCATTTTCTTCGCTGCTCTACGACGATGGCGCATTTTGGTCAGGAAATCATTTGTCATCGCGTCCCTGACTTTTGATTTTTCGGCGTTACACGTGATTCTCGTTCTTATGGCGAACGAGTTTTATAACGGACAAAGACGTGTTTGAACGATCGAACGATAGATCGTAGGCAGATTCTAAGCGTTTCGGAGCATTCTTGTTGTGTAATTAGCGAAAGTTCGAGATCCGAGTTCGATCGCGCGTCATCCTCGAACCTTTATGATTCATTGCTTACCGTTTGTGGCGTGTCGAAGCATTTTCCTTTCGATCGTTCATCGGCGAGTTCGACGTCACGCGATACCAATACACTTTCGAATATTCTACGAAATTTCAGAAGCGGAGTTCCCTATTGCTAACGAGAAACGTCGTACTTTCAGTCGCGTCTTACAAATTTGGAGCGAGTCAGCACGGATCGGTAGTCTAAAGATTAAACAAGAATTTCCCTCGTTTTCTACGATTCCTGTTCTACATTTCGACTAAACGGCCGACCGCTCGTCGACGTCATTATCCGCTCCGGGCGGCCGTTGAAAGAAAACAACGATACTTCTTTCTCGACGGCCGTTCACCCCGACACCCGAACTCCTTCAGCCGATAAACAAATTACAATCGACATGTGAACCATCAAGATACCGGTACATCGACCGTGTACGAGGATCTGCTCGCGCGACAATCAACGACCATTTTCAGGTCCAATAATCTTGGGCTCCTTACCAAACTGTCTTGAAAATAGAAATTAATCCCACACCGGGATACGAATATTTCTGCCCTGTTCCGCTCTATATTCCCATCACGGATACACGTTACACGCTACTGCGATCGGTATACATCGTTCTCCAAAATCCTTCCACGAACAAGCGTTCTCGGTTAAAGCATTTAACTCCATTATTCTTCGTAGTCGATTCCGTGATCGATGGAAACTAGTTGAACGAGCCGCGATTGCTCGTTCGTGGGTTCAAACGGAAGGAACAAAGGAAAACTCGGAAGTAGAAAATCCAAATAGCGTTTCGCGTGAACTCGATGTTTGGGAGATGAGGATCGGGGCCGCCCGCTACACGATGATTATCCAGCTTCGCATAACTGGCGAGGAAAGGTATGGATGTATAGTACGTCCCAGCGGTCGGTGGATGGAAGTCCATCCTTGATGGAGGTTACTCCGGGCCATCGTCCCACATCTTCTTGGATATGAACTTGTGTCTTCGTTCGACTTGCCTCCGATCGTCTCCCTTCGCTTCTCCTTCGTCCTTCTTCCTGCCACCTCCACCGCGTCCCCGCCACCATCGTCACACACCATCGTCACCATCCTCGTCCTCCCTCGTCTTGTCTCCGTTCGCTTCTGGCTGTGTCGTGTTGCGTGTTGCTCGTCCTCGCCACCTCCACTCGGACCTGACCCCCTCCAGCAGCTTCGGCTTTTCTCCTTCTTCGGTATTCTCATCCCCTTCCTCCGAGAGGTCGATTCCAGTGGCGTGAGTTACTCGCGATTCGGATTCCGAATGCCGATCGACGGAGAACTCGTTCGATCGAGCCCTTCGTTTAAGGTAGCTCGGTTAACGGAGATCAAGGGATCGATGAGACCACGCGATCATCCCTGTTCCTATCGGTGACGTAAAAATCGAAGAGCTGCGATTACGATACAAGAACGTAGTCGCTTGCGATCGATAAGTTACAAGAAAAAGATCTGTAGATAAGTTTGATACGAAGAAAGTAAGTTTGAGAAGAACACTTTCGGTTAAATGTGCTTACAGATATTGCCAGAACTGTCTTCAATGCTGTACCGATTAAATATCACCGTAACTGGGATCTTTATTCCACGATGAGACATCGTACGGTGAATCGGTCAAAATTATGCTAACTCTGATTCTCGAGAGAGAATGAGTTGTCACTAGACTGGAAGTAGGGATAGAGATTTAGTATAGGAGGATGACGATAGATTTGGGAGTTACGCTGTTTTGAAAGTGAAAAAGGCAATGACATCCTTAGAGATGCTTTTAATTCGATGCTACGTTTGCTGGCATCGAATGAGTTTGTCGCTGTTGCGCGTGTTAACATCAGTAACGTCGTTCCTGCTGTCGGCAACGAACATCATCCCGACTTGTGCAGGAATACCGCGGAAGGTCGACGGACAAGGTAGCGCGACCTGGATTACGCTCGAGTTATCGGTTCCCTTCGCACTTTGTTGCTCACAGGGTTAAAGCAATCGCTTCTCGCGATTCTGAAAAAGAAAAAGACTCGGAGGAAGAGGCAGCACACTTGCATCTCTTCTTCGATCAACTCGATCGACGCGACTGGTGATCGATGAGCTCATCCTGATCGGTGATCTCAGTCCTCAATCTCGTTTTCTATCGACGCTGACGGATCCTTTGAAATTCTTTCCACCTGTGAATCATCAGACAAATTTCGTGTGATTGAAAATACATGATCGTGAAGGAAATGATAATGCAATGGCGGAACGTCGATAACGAAGGATTCAGCGAGCAGAGGCCAGGTAAATGGCCCGAACGTTGAACCGACGAATGACCTCCGACAACAACGGCCTCCGTTTTCGGTGTCGAAATCACCGTCGCGACAGAATAATGCCTTTACGGCTTCGTGCTTTCGACTTTTACGACTGATCGTTAAACGAAACTCCTCCTCCATACTTGAGCTTCCGAGCTTGTTCATCGGTTACAGAGAAAATACCGATCTCTGTCTCCGGAATTTTTTCCATGTCTAATTGTCTCGTGAGATTTCGTTGGAAAGGATGTTTCTTCTTAAGGAGTCATGGACAAATACACGAGCCATCCGCTTAGTCACCAAGAATGGCTGTAACAAAAGCTTGAGAAATTTATGCTCAAGATGGAATTTCCGGCATAATCAAGTTTAACAATGTAGTAATGAAATAAAGTTTAAACAAAATGCAAAGGGCAAGAGCTATGATATCTTCTGTCTTTCAAAAATGTTCTATGCATTTATCCTGTTCTGTTAAAGTTAATAGATCCATTATCTGTAATTCTAGGAAACTCGCAGCTATAGACAATTCTGAAAACGGATCCGAAGGAGAAAGGGGGTGACTAGCTGCGTCGACCCAATAAGGCCGAGGGGATTTTCAGGGACACCGGTTACAGAAACATCACGATAGCTCATAGAAGTCAGAAGAGGAAAGGGGAAAGATGATGGAAAGAGTAGGGAGGAAGGAACACGGTCGAGAGAGGGTTTCTATGTGTTCGGGACGCGGTCGAAGACACGAGACACACGGCGACCGCTCGTTACATAAGTAAGGTAAAGGATCTCCTCTTCTGCTCTCCTTGAGCCGATCCACATCCGCGATTATGCCACTTTCCATCGACCTCGCTTCACCTCAGCTCGCCATACACCGACGGCACATGTATACAGTGTACGTGCAACGGAAGCTCGTGATTTTCTTTATGGACTGAATTCGGAACTTCGTGAAATCGATCGACAGGGATCTCGGATTTCAGGGAAAGGATATGCTTCTTTTAAAAAATCGAAAGGTATCGAACGATAACTTTTTACGATTAGTTAAACAAAGTACTCGAAGATACTTTAGATCGATCTTTTAAACGAATGCTTCGGAAAATAAAACTAGTCGAGTTTGATGTTGGAAAATCGAAAATAGAAGATTAGATATAATACTGTATTTTATCTCCGAAATAAAAGGAACTGTGTCACTTTTTCTCTGACACGCCCGGAGAAAAGGAAGTTGAAAATTATGCCGACCTATTCTGTAGCCCTTGCACACATTGTCCGGAAAAATGCTGCGGTGCGAAAAAGATTTATTAAATTTCCCGTTTTTTCTTTTCTCTCGGGCCAAAGACGTTTTTAATTAGATACCGAAATTTGTACTTTGGTCTATTTACTTCCTTCTCTTTGAAGCAAAGATGCCTCTCGAAAATTTGCCCTGCCTTTTTCTCGTCGTTCCCATTACTCTTTCACAATTCTTTGCAAACGGCATTCTATTTGCTCTTGATTCACCGTTAACGAAAATTAACCGCCCGAAAACATTCTTTGTTAGTATCTGTGCGGAGAGGGATCAAAGTAAACGAAACTTCGTCGAGAATAAAGTGCATCGAACGAATCGGCGGTAATCGAACTGGCGTCATTTTAGCACGCGGTTCCGTATTATGTAAAGCGATTCGCATCGGCGGAAGACGCGTCTTGCTTCGTGGACCAATTTGTTACGTCCACGGTTTTTACGAAACACTCATTCGCCGCGCTGGTCCGTTTTATTCTTTCCCCTTCCATCCTTTTTGCTCGCCATCGCGATGTAAAGTTAATTGGCGTAGCGCCGCGCGGTTACTCGATTTACATGAGTTTTAATTAAGCGACTGCGTTTGCTCGTCTCACAGCGAACGATACCTACCGGGGCCACGTGGAATTTTTGAAGTAATTGTTATGTGTTTTGCACGCCTTGCCCTGCCGAGGTATGAAAGAGGGGCTGGGCAGATACAAATCTTCAAGATCGTAAATTCGCTTTTTTAATGTTACACCGCGAGGGCTATCATTCTCATAATGACCTCTTTAATTCACCAGCATATTTTCGACGATTACTACGCTCTCTCGTTTGCTCTTCTCATCTTTTGCCTGACGTAAAAATCGTTTCCCGTGATCGTTGAGGTTCCTTCGAATAAATGGACACTAGATCTTTTTACAGTCGGATTATGGTTCCCTGTGTGAGATCGGTGACATTGATAGGTCAACGAACTTCTCGAATGACCTTGCCTTGGCAAGTATAGCGGTACGGTGAAAAGATTCATAGGCAAGTAAGTTTTCTCCTACTGGACGAATAAAACGGAAATATCGTGTTTGGTATTATCGTTTCTACACTTTAGACGATAAATAGATACAGTTACATACGTTTTTTCGTTTTGTCTTTGTTAACTTTGTTCGTTTTTTGTTTAGTACTTTGCTGTGACATATATTAATTGTTTCGATCTTTTACATTTAGCGGGGTTTGTTCGCACACGACTAAACGGTATGGTCATCTAGCGGTGAGAAAGCTGAACTAAAATGTCACTTATGATATGCTACTACGCGAGTACATCTCGTCTGTAATGACATATAAGTTCGTGTCACATGTCTTAGACATTAAAAAATTAGAGATTCTGTTATGCTGCAGATACAGACAAGGTACAAAATAGATGTGACATGTAACACTTTTGCCTCACGTTTTGAGGATTTCCTGATTCTCTTACCATTTTCGTGTCACATGCGATGTTATCGATTCGATATACATATATACATAGTAGTAATTTGAATAACATAATACATAATTTACTAGAAAAAAAGTTTTCGAACTTGTGTGCAAGATCTGTAAATGATCCCAAGCAATCAGGAGTCAGTCAGGTGAAGATTTGGCGCTAGATGACGTTATACAGCGAAAAAGTGAGAAAAAATGAAGATCTATACGATTATTAGGTTCGTTTAACTAATATGTTCTTATTTAATACTTTGTTAGATATTGTTGTAGTGAAATTACCTGAGTATACCTAATGTGTTCGAATATTATTTAAACGGACGCATTACCAGTCTTCTATTTTTCTATGTTATTACAGTAAAATTATGTTTTTAAGGACGAAATGTAATATTTTGTATATTTTGTTACAGATTCTTCATAACATTTCCCCTTTCGCCAGGAAGGATGTAGCGGTGTCTCAGCTTTAAGCATGTAAGGATTTTTACACTGTATCCCAATTAACTTTATTCCCCTATTTTTCCGTAACAATGTAACATTTTATTTTGTACTTCGTTTCATTATATTCCTTGTATTTTACGATATTATTACTTTAAACCTTCAAATTAATTAGCATTATCATTGAGAATAAATTATAATACTTTATGCTTTGTTACAAGTTTCTTTTGGCCTTCGCTTCTTCCGTCGAATTCGGCGGTTCTGTCTGATGACGCCTTGATCATGGCTTCCCTTGGGCCACAACGATATCGATGACAACGTTCTTCGCATTTAATCGTGAGTCGCATGCATCTTTGTTTTTCTAGTCACTCAATCGTGTCGTAGGATGAAAGGTCCGAATCGACACGGGTGACCGATCGTATTACGTAGAATTTTTAACTAGCATGGTGACCGCAGTTATTTATTATATCCATGAGTAGTAACTTTTTTTATTTGTATTTTATTTTTTAGTTGAGGGCAGGTTTTCTTACGAATCGCGTTTTTAAGTGTTGTTGATCAATGCATGTATGTCAGTGTAATATTTACATATTACAATATAAACAATCTGTATGAATAGCATAATGTAAATAATTAATGTATGTTTAAACGATTGAAAATGACAGAATATATTCATTATAATTATTTACAAAATCAAATTATATTCAATATGATTATTTACAAAGATTAAATGTCCATACAGCATATATTATATGAATATTGAAATAAATAGCGAAATGGCTTTGTTCAAGTATTTTGTAGTGGAGAAGTCTGATACACTCAAACTTCGTTAGCACGATGATTTTAATTATGATCGAAATTATTATAATGCTAATGATGATTACATTCAATCTTATCTTCTATTTTACGATAGCGTGGAACAACATTATTATATAAGTTGTATTTTCAACATAATTTTAGTGCAATTTGGAATATGAAATATGAAGGCATTATGTCTAATTTTGTTCACTTGTTAAGGTGTATCAAATTTCACGTGTAAGCAGACACTTCCCGACCAGAAGATTTCAGAATCAAAACAAGTTTTGAGTCATTCTTTGTGCTTCGAAGATGTGTTTTAACGACGAAATAACTCCAGGATGTTTCTGTTGGGCAGTATTTCAGTTAGAATTATTGATATAAATATTATTTGAAAATTAATAAAGTAAGGTAAAGTACAGAGTCAGTAAAATTTGAATGAAATAGGACTATTATCCCTTTACATGAAAATTGTAAAAGATACGTCAATTATATATTTAGCCTAGAATTTTCAGGTTTAACACCTTCCATGTTCATTGCCAGCGCTTCACTCACCGACTCAGGTACTGCCGGATAGAAGAAAGACAATGGGTAAGATGACTAGTTCATAAGATTAATAATTTCTCAGTAACTGATGTTGCGTGTATATCCTGTATGACGTATTTTATACTCTGCGTGTGTGACTGTGTGCGTGCGGCTAGGCCGTGGAATTGCGTTGTTTCTCAGTCCTTATTACATTCACTATAATCAAAAATAATTAAAGAGTTCACAACTAGTGACGTAATTAGAATTCACAGCTAGATCTACGATTAAATACCTACAAAGAATTATAAGCAACAAAAAAATATGATTATGACTGATAAATGAGATATATGAGTCATATAAAAATATGACTGTCAAATTACAATGATATCCTCCATATCATTTATACCAGTAGTGTTTAAAGATGTTCGTACGTATTATTGTAATTAAAATTGAAATTTATACGCGTTTTTATCGTGTTCAATGCACGCCGATAATGCCTTCGTCAGACAATTTCAGAAAGGTGCTACGCACATTAAAGTGTAAAAATTGTGAGAACCATAGAACCAGTGTGTTCGTGTGTCTATTTTGCCATTTTTTAAATATACAGTTAAGAGATAAATAGGATACTTTCCGGTATGAGCATTAATTGTAGATAGGGCCAGACACGTTGGTACAATCCCTTGATCGGGTTAGAGTTAGGCGCATATTCATGTGTATCGGGAAATTTGATTTGGGAAACCGACTGTGAATCACGATGACGGAGCATGCCATTTATCTCTGATTTTGCCTGTCGATTTTTCAAATTTCGTAGATTTTCAAACAAACGTTTATGTATTGTTGGAGCATACACATGCGAACGGACAGCTATCACTGTGCGACGTTCATATGCATTTGAATTAGCTTCCTCGATTTATATTTTTATTTTACATCGTACCTGTGACAGCATGTTCCTGCTCCTGAGTCATTTTATCCAGTTTCACCAGTAGCTTCCTATATAGCTACGCTAGAATGTTATTAGTGTTGCAAATATATAAATCTGAATGTATAGGTTGATAATCATTACTGTTGCGCAAATAATTGCTATATAAAATCCTTAGATCTCCGGTAGATAGAACTTATAAACATTTACATTTGCAATAGGTAGGATTTATGAGCCTCTAGATTTGTAATAGGTAGGACGTAGGATAAAGTTTTAAATGTCTTACAGGAATCTTTATGGAATCAGTAAAGCGAGATCCAAATCGTATTTAAAAATATGTAAAAAGATATCCAAGGTTTTAGAAGGTATATTCATCCCACACACGTCTTCCCTTGCCTTTGTTATACTCGTATAAATTTACAGTTATGTAGCCTGCATTTGAATTCGATTTATAGTTAGTAGCTAGAAGCAAAAAGAGAATTTTGAACTTTCCCTATTATTTCCATCTTGAAATTTCTATGTAATTAAGTGGATGGTAAATGAAAGAGCTCTTGTAAATAATTACATTTATTTATTTATCAATTTCACAGTATAACAGTGTATACGATACGCTGAATATAGAATAATCTCTGCTCTTTATCGTTTACTAATTAAGGCGATTAGTATGTGAGTGATCGGTAAGAACATATATTATATAGCACGTGTACTTTTTATTGGTCGTCACGATATTTCTTTTTCGCTTCTTCTTCTTTCGCTTTCCTTTTATTTCGTTATAGAGGTACGCTACCGTTTGTTAGCCTATTCTCTTGCACGTTTGTCCTTTCTCTTCTCGACGGTAACACATCTCTACCAAGTACCGTATCAACAACTAATTATTTTTCGTAAGACGTTAGTTTTTTTTTTTTTATTTTTATGTACTCGTGCGGATAAGGCCACAATTAGTGATTTTCCGCGTGTGCGTGTCGCACACTCGTCCGACATGCGTGTGTGGATGCGTGTGATTCTTTTTCTTTCTCTTCCTTTTATTTATTTTTTTTCAATTTTTTATCATTTTCTCCACTTTGATGTGGTTAATGCAAAAAATGCTCGCGAACGTATATCGCGGATACGCGAGATAACAAGATCATTTCGATCCTTACTGACTTTCTTGTTCGAGAAAAAGTACAACGATCGAACATGAAGGTCGATTGCATTTAAAATTCGCGTTTTCACGCATTCGCGAATATGTGCACTTGTGGGCTCGCGTGAGAGTTAAAATCGTTCCGAGGCTAACATAGGAAAGATAAAAATTTAGTTACGATCGTTGGAGTAATACAAAAGTAAAATTTGTACATTAAAAATCTCATACATCGAAAAACCCTTGAATTTGAAAAATTTTGAATTTTTCTAACAACTGTGCACCCGAGCCCCGTCGTTTTAATTAGTCGTTCGTTATACTCGAATTTTGCACGAGTCTTACTGTACAATATCGCGGAGCGATAGATAGAGATAGAGAGAGAGAGAAAAAAGGGTGCAGCTTTCGCGCGTGTTGGGATTCGCGTTAGTGTGTACGTGTGTGATTGTTCGCGATCGTGTTCGTGTGTGTACGTGTGAGTTTAAGTTAAATAAAAATAATATTATCATAGGTATATCAAATTTAATTCCGTAAGAATATATAGGATCCATCTGTTCTTCCTTTCTTGTCCCTGTCGTTTAACTTTTACTCCTCGCGTTAATCTTTGTCGTGCGTTTCTCTATCTATTGTATAAAGCGAAAAGAAAGAAACAGTATCGTTAATAACACCACGACAGTACGTAACTTCGTTCCACTTCTAAACACACAGCTCGATAACTTGACGACAGTAACTATACTGATTAAGGCGGTTTGATTCTCGTACTTTTCAAGGCATATTCCTTCGGTTTCTCCAACGCGCTTCTCTGCGATAATTTTTACGTTTGTTCGATTTTACTTTCTTTTGTCTCTTCGGCTGTTACGGCGCGACGGAGAAATCGGAATCGCGAGTGACTAAAATGACCTCTAAAGACTACGAAGCTAGGAAGTACCCTCGTTTCTGCTCGCGTTCTCTGCTTCGAGATAATATGCACAAAAGCTCGGCATTATTACCGAGCCGATCGAGAAGAACAGAGAGCTTTCCGACCAATACGAAAAAAATCGTCGCGGGGTGGTGTCTGCTTTTTCAATAAAAAGTACCGCGTTTCTCAACTATGAGCACGTATACATACGTATAACGATATATATACATATATATTATTATATGTATGGGAGAAAACACGGTAATTTTCATCGCGTTCGAGAGATGGTGACTAAACTATTCAATTATCCTTCTGCAATTATGTTAAAGTTGGTCGACTTCCTTCTTCTTTCTTTCTGTTTCTCGAAGCGGACTCTTCCAGTTGTTTCCAAGGGAAGGTTTCTTAGCGAGGATATTATTCCCGTATGTAGACTGGACACCGTAGACCTTTGATAATTCTCGTTTTCTTACTCCTTTTCCCTCTCCCCTACTTCTCGTTCGTTCTTCTTCGCTCGATGTTTCACTACCCCTCTACATCAACTTCATCTTGGCGCAATCAGGGCAGATAATGTCTTCGCCGTCGGTGATGAATCCACGACCGACCAGCGAGGTCTTGCAACCCGCGCAGATGAAACAATCGTTATGCCAATGCCTGTCCTCGAAAGAGATGAAGCGAGTTCCGCCAATGCCTGAAATACACGGACAACGAATCAGAAATTTATCCTCTTCAGCAAGAAAATCTTCTAAGAGTTAAATGAACATCGCAAGGGATAAAGTTTATCGCATTCGCAAGAAGAAACAGAGATAAATACCAGTAATCGGTTTGGAGCAGGCGGTGCATCTCTTGGCGAACAGTTCTCCAAAGCAATCGGCGCAGTAGGGCTTGTCGTCGCGGGACGTAAATCGCTGGCCAGCCAGTGAATTGTTGCAGTTGCTGCAGGTGAAGCAGTCTCTGTGCCACGGTTCGTTCTTATACGTTACGCCGCCACTGGTGATAATCTGGAACGATAAGATCTCCTTTATCTATCCATTCTCTATACGAGAACACATTCTCCTCCGGCAAACGGACTTTCTTTGCCAAACGGTTAAATAGCACGAGAATTCTTCGAAGAGATAATCGTTTGCTGAACTAAAGATATTCGTTAAAACACGCGAATAATTTTCTCGCTTATAATGCGCCAGAGTTCATCGATTTACCTTGTTGCACTTAACGCATCGGGTGGCGAACTTGTCCTCGTAGCACGCAGCGCAATAGATCTCTTGCTCGCGCGGAATGAAGCTCTTCGTACCGATCGGGTTCTTGCAGACCACGCAGCAGAAACACTTCTCGTGCCACTGCCTGGTCTTGTACTCCATCTTCTTGGTA